GTGAAAGACTTTGCTATCGATCTTGATCGAGGTTTTTTAAGTGGGGCCTCTGGGGAAACTTTCGGTTAACCCATGTGTTAGGTGATTTGGTTTAGTGGGTTATCGGTGATGCTTAACCTCTTTGCATGTTTGCTAATCATGTTGAGGAGTAGTTAGTTATTATATCATACCTATTAGGTATTACCTAAGATATTAGGTTCTTAAATTAGTCATAGGAATGATCCGAGTCCTAAGACTTACGATTTATTTGATCATTTATTCTGATACACCATCCATTAATCCCCTCTATGACCTTATAAACAAAGCACAGACAGAAAACTCCTACTCTTTTTTATCCCCTGTCCCATCTAATCTGCATTCCAATCGAAACCCAAGCCCAATCCTCCATACAATGGTCAACAATTGCAGAAGTATATGTCACATGATCACACGCCGACGACGCCGATGAAGATGATGATGATATAGTGCCATATAAACCGATCGCTTCGTTTCTTCTTTTTACACGGCCAAGGAATGCGACAATGCAAAAAAAAAAGGGCCAAAAGAGAGAGGGAGACGGGTAACCAAAGGAGAGAAAGAGATGGGGCCAGTTACTTTTGGTTGCTGGAAAATGATTAATAGTCATGCGGTGGTTGCCTTGGAGCGGGTGGATTGAGGGGGCGGGCAGGGGCAGCCGGCGGATGCAGTGCCGCCAGAGGAGACGCCAACCAAAGTGGAGCAGCCATGCACGGAACTAAAATTATTGATGGTTTTTTAAATCTGTTAATTCTCTACTTTGAAAATGGCCTAATTATTGGGAATGTCTTTCTTTCTTCCAAAAAAAAATTAAAATGATATAATAAATTATAATGAAAAGTATTATCCTCAGAGCTAAAATTAAATTTATTTTTTTTAGTGTAAGGAAAATGCATCCACAGCAGCCGCACAAAAATCAGCTTCGCTGCAAATTTCTTTTGGCAAAAGGCAGACAAGGATGAGTAACGCAAGAGAAAGAGATGCAAAGTATGGGGAAGCAAGATGATCATTTCTGTGTGAGAACTTGTTGCATCGTAAGAGATTTAAACACCTTATCCAAGAGGTATACTAATTTATGATAGTACTTCTCAGGGAAATTTAAGAAATTTAAATTATATTTTAAAAGTTTTAGTAAGGAAAAGCCTAAGTTAAAATGTATCTTTTACCTACAAAGACCGTTCATTTGAAATTTTTTTATAAAAAATTAAAATTTACACTGATGTGGAATGATATTTTTTTGTAACTAGAAAATAATTTGGGAACTCTGATGTAGTACTACTACTACTAAAGATTCTATAGTTTTAGTACTGATTTTATTTTGAAGATTCGAATTTCCGAATACCGATCTGTAAGGGTATTTCAAGATGCGATCACTGAAGCCTATCTTTCCTTTTCATTCAGTCTCTCTTACCCGCTTTATTATTTTCAACGATTTAATGTTTTGTGAACTGTTTAAATTGTGCAAACAATTTCAGCTAAGTGCCTGCCTACCAATGATGATGATGGTGAGCCGAGGACGATGGTCAAGGGGGTTAAAGTGGGTTCGCACAGCTTTTTGATGTGGCACAGGAAGTGCAACTTTAATGAAGCGTTTAAGTGGCAGCTGTTGTTTTTGTTGCTGTTGTTGTAGTTGTTAGTGCAGCACGGAAGGTGTCATGCAGTTGTTGTAGTTGTCCAATGTTTGCTGCTTTTCATGGTTCAATGAAAGGAATGCGCCTAAAGTGTGAAGATGAGTGTGCTGGGAAATTGGCCAAAACACTTAAACGTGACTGATCGAAATTTCACTTTGAATTAATGTATGCGAGAAATTTCCGCTTGGCAAATATGCAAATGGCTTTTAGGCTTAAATATTTAAGATATCTTTAAATGTTTTTAGATGTATTGTGTTTTAAAATGCTCAAAGAATATTTGTTGTTAGAATAAATAAAGGTATTCACAATTCAAATATAAATAATAATATTTATATATCATTTTTTAAAGTATAAAAAATGCCACACGAATCATTTCCCAGAACTTCCCTAAGACAATATGATGGCCCCAAAAAGTCTGCGTTCCATTAAACTCTTTCCCTCTCCATGTTCTTACGTCTAAGTTTTTTTTGGTATCACTTATCGGAAATGGAAGTTTGGCTTTATCAGCAGCGCAGCCTCATCAGTTAGCTAGTCTAAGAAACCACGGAACCCCAGCAAGAAAACCCTATAAATACCGATCGCAAAAGTAGTTCCCAGTTAAGCAATTCGAGAAGGCCTGGGAAAAGAGCAGGTCGGAAACTTTATCTAAATGCTGGCGCTTATCAGGCGAACAAGGTGCCAGGGGCGGGGGTCAGGTGAATGGAAAGGGAGTGGAAATGGGAAGAAGCGAACAAGAAGAGAGGCCGCAACATAAGAATTTATGACTCACACGGCGAAAGGTAGAAAAAGAAGCTGGGTACAGAAAAGAATGGGATATAATAAAATATTCACAAATAATAAAAAAAATTTAACTTTGAGGGAACACTATTAAGATATAGGGTCGAAAATTTTGGAAAAACTAAGCAATTATGTTCTTATTTTTAAAAGGTTATATATTCCTTCAAATAAGTTTTAATTAACTTTAATTAAGTTTTTCAGCATTAAGTTGGAAAACAATAATTATTATTAAATAACAAAATTCCTGGAATTTCGAGTTCAAAGCTTATTCACAAATGTTTTTCTAACTTAAAGATTAGTACTCCAAATAATTTTTTAGCGTAATACAGCATTTAGTTGGAAAACGATAATGAATGGAATTCTTTAATTACTATTAAATCAAAAGTTTTCTGGAATTCCGATTTCAAAGCTTATTCACAAATGTGGTTCGTATTTAAAGACTATTTCACAGATTACACAAACTTATTATTTTGAGTGCATCATATAGGGAGTCTCAGAGAGGGGTTCGACTTGATCGGGAATTAAAAGGTTCACAAAAAAATGCCGACAGAGAATAAAAATCCTGAACTGCATAATTTAAACGATTTCAATGACACCTTGATTAATATCAAAGACAACACAAAAGGCAACTCGAGAACTGACCACTCTACCTGTTGGCCACCCCGCCCCCTCATCGCCCCCCTCCCCCACCGGCATTTCCATGAAATTATGAACGAAACGCAACGCGCAATGCATTTGACCAAAAGATAAAGAATAAGGAAAACATATATAGGAGGGAAAAAAACCAATCAGGCAACGTTGAAAACCAAAAATAAACAAAGGCAGGGCCCAGGTAAAGGTAAAGGGCCAAAAGGAAGGGCAGGGGGGTAAAAGGGCAGAGGCTGCAACAGTTTACCTGGCAACAAATCAAACAAAGAGAGAGAGAGAGAGAGAAGAAAAAAGAGGGAACGAGAAGGCTGCACAACTTATTGCAATTAAGCGTGATTAATTCAGGATTTATACAAATTAACTAAAACCCACAGGCGATCGAGGTCGAGACTAGGTCCCCCCTAGCCCCATCCCTTTCCGACCCATCGAGCATCGCGTAAAAGCGGTGTGACAACATTTTTGCTCTTGCACTAGCCAAAGAGCCTTTCAATGGGTCCCACAGTCCAAAATCCCTATAGAGATTAGAGTACTTAAAAAAAATATAATCGTTATCCTGACTTACAAATACCAAAAATTGTTACTTTCTTGGCAATATCAAGTGTTTTTCTTAATATAACAAGTTTCTTATATGGTATATCTCAACATTATTATCCTCATTCTACAAAATGTATATTAAAACTTGGGAAAATATGAAATGTATATATTATTTTCTAGGATTCTTTTTCGATTGTGAAGCGTTTTATTACTATTTTATTGAAACACTTAAATAGCTATAACAATAAAACTTTTATTGATGGTCAAGACAAGTATAATCCTGAATGATTAATAAACCAGTTCATGGCAACGAAGTTATACTGTATGACTGCTCTCTTCTGGTTTTATTTTCTTTTTTTGTACATCAAAAAGGAATTTCTTGAGATTTTTCGTTGTGGCTGCTTCTGCCTTTTGGACTGGTCTTGGAAACTGGAACCCTTTTCCTTCACAGGGGCAGAGGTGTACGGATTCAGAAGGGAAAGGAGTACGGGGGCCTACGATGAGCAGGCGACGCATGCGCCAAGATCTCTGGGATGGACACGCTCTCCGCGACGGACTCTCTCTTATTTAGAGCCTACCTTGTGCTGCTGCTTATTCGCATTTCGAGTTGATTTGCCTGTAATTTTATTTCCTTCAGGGGGGAGAGGGAGCAGAAGGGTTCCTCGGGGAGAATTCGAGACGCGTTGAAGGAGCGGAATGAATCACGGAATCGCCCAATTTGAAAGCGAGTTCCCTTTGTTCCTTTGTGATTCAGACTTGTTTCTTATCTCTGGCGATTTACCAATGTTATGAAATATGCTCGAGGGTTTGAAGAAATGGTGTTTAAGATATATTAAAATATTTGCTTACTTTTTCTTTAATAGATATTGGTTTTGTTTGACATTTATTGATTGTTATATTATTATAATCATCTATATTTGAAAAATTGTATTTCAGTTTTAAGCTTATCGTTCTCTTTATTCTGATTTGATTGTCATTTTTGCACCACTTGAAATAATTTTGCACTTTGATAAAGGCCAAGACCTCGTTTCTTATCACATCAAATTAAAATTTGTACTATTTTATTGACAACCATAGGAGAAGGCAATAAGAGATAATTAGCCAACAAAAGCGCCACTTCTTCGAGACAAAGTTGTTGTTAGAGAAAAAAAAATTAGCTTAATAGAAAAATCAATTACCAAGTTAGTTCAGAGTTTGTTGAAATCTTTGTAACCCATCTTTTGATTTACAACTCTTCTATTTTTATCATTTCCAAGCATAAACTAAGCTTTATAACTACAAGATCTAAATTTTTTACTTGCATGGCCTATTGACAACTGGATATTCTAATATATTATATTAAGATTATAGATTATATATTTCTCCATCCCATTTGGATGATGATATTACACTTACCGTTACTGGGTTTCTGGGGGATCTCGATGGCATCGATGCCCCTCGCCTGGAAAATGTGCGTCACAGCACTGCAGTTCGGACTGAATTGATCGATGATCGAGGATCCTGCCACGCCCCCCGCTGGATTGGGGGCGGCAAGGGCGGCCACCTGGGGGGCGGGGCCATTGTCCGCTCCAACGGTGGGTGGAAAGTGGGTGGTGAGCAGTAAAAGAAGAAGACTGCTGAATATCACAAGGCGGGCAGTTGTTGTTGCTGTTGCATTTGTTGCTTTTCTTCTGCAGTGCAGAAGTTGTTGTTGCTGTTGCATTTTGATATCTCTTTTGATAACTCTCTTTTTTTTGGGGGGAGTAGAGAGCGCGGGAGAGAGAGCTAATTTAGCCGGCTTTTGTTGTCGTTTGGCTTCGATTAGAATTCGATTCGCTTCGATTGTGTTTGTTCTTTTTGCGGTAAATACTTTCGGCAAACTCAGACACCCGCACACTAACACACCGCCTTGTTGTTTGCCGGCATTATTATGATTATTATTTTAGTCGCTTGCGTTTATCAGTGTGCATTTTGCGCTCAGGAGCAATTAAAGTGCAACATGGCCGTTGGGTTATTAAATCGGGATTATAAACAATTAACAAATAGCGGCACACGCACTGCACACACGCACTCGCACCCACACACACGCACCGCACGAAAGACGAACTGAAAGCAAGCGCGAAACGCAGGAAGAAGCAGCACAGCGCGTGCTCGCGAGTCGGCCAAAGATTTTTGACTGGCCATTTTGCTTTGAATTTGAATTGGCTGATTGTCGATGACTTATCTGATATCGCTTATCGATGGTGTTATCGATGTCTGCCGTGCTCAGTGTTGCCCATGACTAGATTTTTCTAAATATTCAAAGCGGTCACTCTGCAACTAAAGCGCCATCTACAATAGCCCTGATCCAGGTCCTAAGATAAAAGTACATGTATTACTCCTTGAAAACAACAAGACAGCCAGAAAAAATATTACTTTATAATGAAGATAATATTTATGTGTTCCATTTAAATTTGAAAACGTGTTATGATTTTTTAGGGAGCGTAGGGCTTGTTTTTAACTTTTATATTGACAGTGTCTAGTCCTGCTTTTCGCGCAGTGTAAGGGGAACAACCCAAGGATTATCAAACGCAGCAGGCACAACCAATCAAAAGGAAACATCAAATTTCGACGAATTTTGAACATAAATATACCCAGGGTGATCTTCCTGACACATCTCCCAATCCATTTGTCACTTATGCTTAGAAGTACAACCCAAAAAATGATAAATATCTCACATATTTTCACTATTCAACAAAAAGCTGTGTGAAAGGTTTTAAAAACAGTGAAGACAGCCCATTTAATCGCATAACTTGCCTATCGATAGCCCACGCCGCCGTTTCCTTGCATTGTCCATCGCTAACCAGCTGTTTTGGCGGCAACGAGTTTTGGCCGCAGGAAAATAATGTTTATTTAAATAAAACGCAGTTTGAAGATCGGCACAAGAATGACCCAGGAAAGCGCGGTGCACGAGGCACTGAGCAGGCACTTTGGCCACTCGAAATTCAAGTCGGAGCTGCAGGAGAAGGCGGTGAAGTGCGCCGTCAAAAGTGAATATGGGCCAAGTTCTTACTCAATCTCGAAGATAACACCTCTCGTAATTCCCTTACAGAAAAGCAGGATGTGTATGTTTCGATGCCCACGGGCTCGGGCAAATCCCTGTGCTTCCAGTTGCCCGGCTTGATGTCCGAGAACCAAATAACCATCGTATTTTCACCACTACTGGCCTTGATAAAGGATCAGATCGATCATTTGAGCAAACTTAAGGTGCCTGCGGACTCACTCAACTCTAAGATGAGCACCAAAGAAAGGGAACGTGTTATAATGGATCTGCGGGCCGTGAAGACGAACCTAAGGTTTCTGTACATTACCCCGGAACAGGCGGCCACCAAGTTTTTCCAGGAACTGCTGCAAACCATGCATAAACATAAAAAGATTGCTTACTTTGCGGTGGACGAGGCTCACTGTGTCAGCCAATGGGGTCATGACTTCAGGCCGGACTACCTCAAACTGGGGGAGCTGCGTTCCAAGTATTCGGACATCACCTGGCTGGCCCTGACGGCCACAGCCTCCAGGGAAGTCAAGGAGGATATATACCAGCAGTTGCGTCTCCACCAGCCTGTTGCCCAATTCAGCACTCCCAGCTTTAGGAAGAACCTCTTCTACGACATTGTGTACAAGAACTCAATTGAGGATGACTTTCAGCACCTGGCCGACTTTGCCAGACATTGTCTGGGCGATCCCAAGGAGTTCAAGGAGCAACCTAAGGCTCAGAGAGGCTGTGGAATCGTGTACTGCCGAACTCGCGATCAGGTTGAGCGAATGGCCATTGGAGTCAGCAAACAGGGAATCGGAGCAGTGGCCTATCATGCTGGCCTGAAGACAGGGGAACGCACCGAAGTCCAAGAGGCCTGGATGCGGGGCGATCAGCCAATTATATGCGCCACCAACAGCTTTGGAATGGGTGTGGACAAGCCGAGTGTGCGATTCGTGATCCACTGGGATGTACCGCAAAATGTGGCCGCCTACTACCAGGAATCTGGTCGCGCTGGACGCGATGGCTTGCAGTCTTACTGTAGATTATACTATGGTCGTGAAGATGTACGGAGTATACGTTTCCTGCTCCAAAACGATGCCAACAGAGCGAGGGGTCGTGGTGATAAGGAGCTGCTAACGGAGAGGGCTATAAAACAGTTTGAAAAGATCACCGAGTTTTGCGAGCGGACTACCTGCAGGCACAAACTTTTTTCGGATTTCTTCGGGGATCCTGCACCAGATTGTAATGGTCAGTGTGATGTCTGCAAGCGACCTAAGAAAGCGGAGCAGGCTCTGGAGATGTTCCATCGGTTGTGTATGGACGATACTTTTAAGTCGCACATTTCTCTGCAGGATTGCGCAGATCTGTATGAAGGTGAGCTTTAAAGTTCCTGTTTTTTAGTACCAGTCTACTTATGTATTTACTTCATTTTCCAGGTGGTCGTCCTGGAATCAAACGTGCTGCCCAGGAGTACGCAGCAGGAGAATCCGGTTCAGATGGCGATTCCGGCGAGAGTCACTCCTCCATGGCAAAGAAAGCCAAACGGGAATCTGAGGATTTTATAAAGCAACAGTTTAAGCTAAGAAAACAAATCAGCGCAGCTCGGCAGTTGGAACAAGAAACTGCCGCCCAAATCTCTCGCATTCGACAGGCGGAAGCCACTGAAAAGAAAATCGCCGGCCTTCAGTCCACGCACCGGGAGAAATACCTTACAGCCATTATTGATGCACTGAAAGCCAACGTAGACAAGTGCAAAGAGGATCCAGAGCAGCAGCCAAAAAGTGTACTGAAGTATAATGACTACGAAGCGATAGCAGTGGATATGGAATATGACGTGTTTCGCCAGAACAAGGTGGCGAATATGTACCGACATGCCTTAGTGAAAGAGGTTAAAATTACGAGTTGGCACGGGATAAAATAAGATTACTAAATATTTTTCATTATAGATTTCCATAATTAAGCAACTGACTGGGAAGGCGCAATTGTTGCCTCTTATGGTGGACTATATACCCAAGCCGGAAACGAGTTCCAAAGGCGTCTGGACGGGAGGAAGTGTGGCTTACTTTGAACGGAAGCTTAAGGAGCTGGAAGAACAGAGACCGCAAAGTTTGAAGGAGGTTCCAAAAGCATTGAAAGAAAGAAAGGGATTCAAACAGGAAAACAGCAAGCAGACGTCGATTTCCTCCTTTTTCAAAAAAGAAATTAAAGAGGAACCATCGGAATCGTCGAATGACGGGGAAGGTGTAAATATAAAAAAAGAACCAGAAGAAGTTCAGATGGAAATTGAAGAGAGTAAAACTGAGGAAGCTTCTACCAAGCATGTTAAGGTCGAGCCCATGGATGAGGAAAGTACTGATCCTGAACTGGAACTTCAACCGGGCAGCATAATTGGCGAGCGGAAATTCAAATTGGTGTCCAACGGCGATGGCAGCTATGACATGCTTCGCAGAAAAAGAGTTTCGCATCAAAATCAACCCAAAGAAAAGGAGTCAAAAAAGATATCATCAAGCATGCAGCATCTTTTTGGTTCCTTTAAGAGCGAATCTGAAGAGGAGTTGGAGCAACCACCGGTTGTTTTGAAATTAGGCAGCATAACAGAAGAAATAGGTCTTAAGAATGATGAGAAGCAAAAGCCCGAAAATAAGTCCGATTCTATTGGCTTCATTTCAGCCAGAGAAATGTTGGAGAGAAACAAAGTTAAGAATGGGGAAAAGAGTGAAAAATCAAACAACAAACATGAAACACTAGGCTTTATTTCAGCCAGAGAAATGTTGGAAAATAACAAACTTAAAGAAAAGGGTATAGACAAAAGAGATGTTAAGGAAAATAAGTTAGAAAGTAAAGAGACAAGGGAAGACGATAAAATGAAAGCTGAGAAAAAAGCTGACTGTGACAGAAAATCTCACAAAGAAAAACCAAAAGAGGCGAAATCGGACATTAGGGATTTGAAATCTATTAGGGGAGAGCCCAAAGAATCAGAAAAGCATTCAAAAGATATAGCATCCCGTAGAAAAGACCCTAAAGATGCATTATCAGACTTGAAAAGAAAAGAGGGGCCAACCACTAAAGACTCTTTACCACAGAAGAAAGATTCTCGGGAATCCGACTCAAAGAGAAGTTCGCAGAAGGACGCCAAGCCAGAAAAGATCCAGCAAAAGAACGATGTCAGCAAAAACGTTGTGCAGTGGCTCAATCCCTACTATAAACGAAAAATAGCCACCAAAGAACTATTCAAAGCCCTGGCAAAGTTGCTCACTCAGCGCATTTGCGATGGAATTTTGGGTATGGTAAAAAACTGTCTGTGAATACCCTTAAGTTTAATGATTCAATTCTAGGTGATGGCGATGCTGGCAAGTGCTACATCAAGGAGACCTTCCATGGTCTGCAGATGATCAATAACGACCAGGACATTGAGAAATATTTCATCAAGTCCAAGTGACTCCAAATAGCTCTACCCGCCAGCCGCATGATTTCATCACAACGAATTGTTTCGCCTTGTTAACAGTTAAAGAATCTTTTTTCGTTAATGTTTCGACTTGTACATAATAAGACCCTAAATTATCAGCAATACATTAAAAATACTATATTTTTTTTATTTCAACCGTTTCAATAGAAAATAGAAAGCTTTTTTTTTTGATTTGTGAAAATATTCGCTCGTACAAAATTTATTTGTGTTGGATCTTACTTATTAATTGGATTAGATAAAACGTTCGTGATGCTCGATGTATTAAGCTTATAAAAAAAAACAAAACAGGGCAGCCGATGCGCAAAGAACTTTAAACCTCCTCGGACTTCGTTTTTGTACATTTTCGATTCGATGATGGCAATTCAGATGTTTTCTCGTGGGATTACAATTAGCTGGGAGACGGGGATGTGAACGGGGTCTTAAATCTAAATTGGAGCTGTAAATATTACAGTCCACGCTGGGCGAGAATCGAATGGGTTCCTCTGTCCCGCCAAACTTCACGGGATCGACCAGGTCATTCCAGATCTCCGTGGACGCCGAAACGGATGGTAATGAGAATGTCCAGCAGGAAGATCAGCGAAGTGACCAAGGCAATGGAGGCAGAAGCCATCACGAGGTCCAAACGATGCATATTCGGGTGCCAGTAGTTGCGATCCTTGGTGGTGGACCAGTCCCGGAAAAGCAGAGCAGTCACGGCCACAAACAGGACGAATGCAACCAGGTTCCACAAAGTAGCCGTTCGCCAGGGTGTCCTGTTGGTAAGTTACAAATATTATAATATATATATATATAAATTTCGTTTCAACTCACAGATCACCAAAGAGCGCCATTATCAAATAGATCGCAGTGTAAATGGTCAGGGCACCAAAGGTCACATAGCAAAGGGCAGCTACTCGGGGTGTAACGAACACCCGCAGATGGGAGTTGGTGGCCGGCTCGTCGATCAGGCCTAGGCAGCATATCAGCAGGCACTATTGAAAACCAAATAATTTTTTAATATTAGAATTGACAATCATCAATTTATTCAATATCACTTGAATATAAATGTTTTGTTTTTGTTCTTATATGTTCACTTCTAGACTTCATAACTTGAGTAATTCTAGAAGTGGGATACCTCTATAAGTTTGTGGAGGAATTCTCTAATGTTCAACATTAAAATATTACTTCTAAACGAGGGTCCAAATTTTAACCCACTCTCGTGTTCGATTTTTCCGTATTTCCAATGGGTTTCAGAATGGGACCCCGAAACTGCATTTCTAGATTCCATAACTTAAGTTACTTTTGTCCGATTTTGAAGTGGGATACCTCTATGAGTTTGTGGAGGAATTCTCTAATAGTCTGCATTAAAATATTACTTCTAAACGAGGGTCCAAATTTTAACCCATTTTCATGTTCGATTTTTCCGTACTTCCAATGAGTTTCAGAATGGGACCTCAAAACTGCACTTTTGATTCCATAACTTGAGTTACTTTTGTCCGATTTTGACGTGGGATACCTCTATGACTTTGTGGAGGGATTCTCTAACGGTCTACATTAAAATATTACTTCTAAACGAGGGTTCAAATTTTAACCCATTTTCATGTTCGATTTTTTCGTATTTCCAATGAGTTTCAGAATGGGACCTCAAAACTGCACTTTTGATTCCATAACTTGAGTTACTTTTTTCCGATTTTGAAGTGGGATACCTCTATGAGTTTGTGGAGGGATTCTCTAATGGTCTACATTAAAACATTACTTCTAAACGAGGGTTCAAATTTTAACCCATTTTCATGTTCGATTGTTCCGTATTTCCAATGGGTTTCAGAATGGGACCTCAAAACTGCACTACTAGATTCCATAACTTGAGTTATTTTTGTCCGATTTTGATGTGGGATACCTTTATGAGCTTGTGGAGGGATTCTCTAACGGTCTACATTAAAATATTACTTCTAAACGACGGTTCAAATTTTAACCCATTTTCATGTTCGATTTTTCCGTATTTCCAATGAGTTTCAGAATGGGACCTCAAAACTGCACTTTTGATTCCATAACTTGAGTTACTTTTGTCCGATTTTGACGTGGGATACCTCTATGACTTTGTGGAGGGATTCTCTAACGGTCTACATTAAAATATTACTTCTAAACGAGATTTCAAATTTTAACCCATTTTCATGTTCGATTTTTCCGTATTTCAGAATGGGACCCCAAAACTGCACTTCTAGATTCCATAACTGGAGTTACTTTTGTCCGATTTTGAAGTGGGACACCTCTATGAGTTTGTGGAGGAATTCTCTAATGTTTAACATTAAAATATTACTTCTAAACGAGGGTTCAAATTTTAACCCATTTTCATGTTCGATTTTTCCGTATTCCCAATGGGTTTCAGAATGGGACTCCAAAACTGCACTTCTAGATTTCATTGATTCAGATTGAGTTTTTGTATTCCGATTTACAAGAGTTTCACGTTCAAATAACAAAATAAAATGTACAGTGTCCAAATAACTCACCAGTTCCACAATTTTGATGCATATCAGCGTGTAGGTGGCCTTTTTGTTGCCATGGGTTGTGGCAAAGGAATTATCATCAGCCGGCGACATTTCGACGCGTGAGATTTCTGCACCGGACAATTAAACAATTAATTAATTAAATAATACTGCAAATTCAATTGGTATTTTGGGCACTTTGGCATTTGCTCGGGGCGAAGATACGATGAGAATAAGGTTCTTTGTATATGTACCTATCGATCGCAAGTAACTCATTTTGCAGAGTCTTTTGGAAATGTTCTCGACCTACAGAGGAAACGGAATCTTCAATTTTGGTTTTAGTGTTCAGTAAAAGTCGGGGTTAATGGCCATATTTGGCCTCCGTCTCTGGGTTATCGGATATTTGTTATTGGATGCTCGGTGGAGCGTGCAAACAAGTAGAACTGAACAATCTACGTTCTGATGTGGATTTGTGTCAATTGATGGCCGAAGGTCTCCCACATGAAATACATCCAGCTGCAGACCAAATTGATTAAGGGCACATTCTGCTATGATCTCATCTAATTGGGTGTGTGGGACTTTTGGGGTGGGGTCTATAACTACGGACATGTGGAGGTATATTCGCCTTCGAGGTGCCGAGATGCATACTAAATTCAACCTGGGAATGCGAGCAGCCTACGTGAGTTTGCATCGAAAATTCTTATGAATAATAAAACTCAACTATAATCGCTGGCTTGTGACACTTCATCTATAATTCCATTATTTTCAATATTTAATAACAAACCGACAAAGGCTACTGTCGCTCAATTGTCACCACTGTCGAATCCTAAGAACACCTCTATATAGAGTTATTTACCCTAGGTTTGCACTAAGAAAAACTTACAGGTTGAAAAGATTCTATCTGAGAAACACCTACACTGCGTTTAGAAAAAAACTGAGCAGAGAGCATTCTGACGTTCTCAATTAAGTTGAAAATGGGGCTAAAAATAGATCGACACTTCTGAGTCTAAAATTGGTTCTCAAATAATGATTATGTCAACAGTGTTATCAAAATGAGAACCAAAACTACAAAAAAAATAATTAATTGAGTGTTTTCTGCACGCAAAAATTATGTTTTATTAAAAAACGTAAATATAATTCGTATAAAACAACCGAATGGCTTTATATTCTAGTATATGATCGTAGGTATTTTATGAAAATTACTAGCAATTTAAAACTTCGCTGAAAATTCTGAAATTTTAATTATTTCTTCTCTGTGTATAAAGCGGGGAATTGGATCTCCACTTCATAACCAACAATGGAATCGCTACATAGTTCTGGCTTCGGTTCCCCTCATTGATTGAAGCTAATTGCATCACACAAAGAACAAAACATAAAAGCCCAATATTAGCCAAAGGCACGTACAAAAAAATGAAGGAAAGGGGATTGGGAGGAAATTGTGCCAGTTAACCCCGGGATGTGTAACCCCATAAACAATAATTAAAATGCAAGTGGAAAACCAGAAAAAACAACTCAAACTCGAAATGAAACTGGAAACTCAACTCAAACCCTAAAAAAAGGGTCACGCATAACTTTCACTGCGGAGGAGGGGGAAAATAAGGGGAGGGAGAAGTGAAAGAGCTATACAAAGAATTGAAAAGGGAAAGATAAAATGGGCCCAAGACAATCCCTCATTATAGACCGTGGGTTTGGAGTTAATAAACATTTTAGTGTCTAGGTTCTGGTTGCAAAGGTAAACAATTAGATAAGGGAAACTACTAAAAAATGAATTACAGTGGAACGAAACTAACTTTATATATTAAACCAGTTTTCTATAACTTGAAGATCTTATATAACAAACAGAACAAGAAATATATATCTTCAAAATTGTCTAAAAAAAATCTGGAAGTGTTTGGTTTCTTCCAAGAATTTAATCTTAGGAGATATTCCCACTTTTTTTATTGCTTCATGTAAACATTTTAAAAGTTGTTTATAATATACTAACAATCTATAAGAAATAATATACTACTTTTACACAATATCTTAAGGATTTAAAAAGTATTTAATGAAGTTAGTGTTATAGTATTCCATTTGCCCTATTAATTTCGTATCCTCTTCATGAAATCACCTCACTAATTTTCGGCTTTGCGACTCTTAAAGATTGGAATTTCAGTGGTTAACCGTTTGCGTGTTGTTGCTAACGAGTGCTTCACGTTTTGGCTCACACTCGAACGCCTCTTCACCACCCCTTTGAACCAAAAAAAAACAAGTTTTTCACGGCGGCGCTTAGAAGAAGAAAGGCCAAAAAGCAGAAACCAAACAAAACACACGCAACAAGCCACGAAGCACAAAAAAAGGTAAACAAAACGTATTGGCTAAGAAAACTTGTTTTGGTTAAGAGAGAATTTGGCTTAAGAGAGGCTACCTGCCACACCTGCGTATTTTAGAGAGGACTTTTTCTCTGAAAAGGTGGGCATAATTTTCTGGCCCGCACTGTGAATTAACCTCGTTTCGCTTTCAGGCTCAAAAGGGATTTTTTTTCACCAAGCAGCCCTATAACTGGTCTGAGTTTTGGGTCAATGACTTGTTGTTGTTCTCGATTATCCGTTTTTGTTTTGGTTCTTAGATTCTATCTTAAGAATTTGCTTAGGCAAAGCCCACTTGGCTAGCTTATTTAAGAAGCTTAATTTGCAGTTTCCTGAAAACCAAAGATCCAAAGAGCTATGCATATCATCTGTATCTCTCATCTTTCAATCGCAGTCTTGGGCAATTGAAAAATGCAACAAAACTTGTTTTAAGCCTCAGCCGCCCCCTTTTTGGCCCCCCTGGGCGGTTTGCCTCCCCCTCACACTTGCATTGATATGCACAACTGCAAACTGGTTGCAGGCGAGAGCGAGTGGGACGGGCGATGGGGGAGTGAGAGGGCCAACACAAATAAAAATACATATATGTATGTAAGTTAACTAAGTAAGTTAACCGGGCGACGGCAATGACCGATCGTCCGAAAGCTCGCTCCGGCCAAATTGCTGACACAGCGTCTGGCCGGAAGCCCGTGCATAGCCGGCAAGCACTACCCATTGGAGTGGCCGCTATGAGTCCCTTTTTATGTTAGCTTTAAGTTTAGTTCTCATTTTGATTTGAAAGAATAAAGAGCTAACGCTCACGAATTGAAACTCCGGCCATCGCCGTATTTGATTTATTGAAATTACACCCAGTCTGAGTCTCTAGGCCAGCGGGCTAAAAGAGGGCAGTTACCCTCTCAACCTAATCGTCATATATTTACTGTTGATGACGCAGGCCAACCGGCCAACTACAACACACACAGCGGCTGATATTACCAGCTACAACTACGGTCAACCGACCTCCTGCTACAGACGTTCTGCCAGCCAGCTTCACCCCCTCTACAGACGGACGGCCAGCCGGCACACGGATTAATTAATTATTTAATTGGCGCTCAACGTAAAAGTACCCACAGCGGTATAGGAGGGATTATGTAAGTGAGCAATTCAATTCATACCCTTCTTCATCTGCATTGTGTAACTTTTGATAAATAAAAATAAACCGCGGCCAGAATATTTTCTGCGGCTCCGCTTCTATAAATTTGTGTCAAATAAACATACTCACTAATTGGTTGACAATTTTATTGCTGTAATCACAAGTGACATTATTTGTGTTTTTCATTGTTTGCATTTTTTAAAATTCTTTCAATAAATATCTCGGTGCCGAATATTATCGCCAATATAACTACCAGATTACATAATTAATATATTTACATATATTTACATATTTAATATTTAATACCCAGCCTGGACGCAAAGGCGCCGCCGGGAAATAAATTTATTAATTGTGCATTTATTGATATATTTTTATTGGCGACGGATACTGTCTCATTTAAATTTGTGCATTTAATTTACCCCTTATATGTAGTCGTCTTTTTGCTTACACCGAAATTCTTTGTGTTAGCTTCGCAACAGTCTTGGGTTTGTTTTTGTTTCCATCGCTTACCCACTCCACTACGACACTCGAACTTGACACCGCGACGTTTGTGTTCCGACTTTGTTTAGCTTCGCTTCTTTGTCTTTCAGAACGGCAGCTTAGCCACCACGAATCTTTACTGTGTCAATTTTTGTTGTTTATATTTTCGTTTGCCATAGCGGAGACCCAGTCCCCGCGATCCCCTTCCCCTTGTCACTGCTTGGCAAGGCAACAGCTCAGTTTTCCAACGAGCTCTCGTCCATTGTTACCGAGCGGCATCTCAGCCCCCGCGGCCCCCTCGCCATATCCGTGGGCAAGACCGCTTGGGCATGCATTAAATCGCTGGGCCGATTTAGCTTGCACAGCTCCATATGAGCAACCCATTCCAACAATATAGGAACAGCAAGCAGGTCCCCAGTGACTCTGAATCCGAGACCGAAGGGCCGGCAAGAACTTCTACACCGAAAAGTGTAAGCGTCGGCACTCCCTCAGACAGAAACATGGCATTTAACCCAGACCAAATAAAGGCGGTAGTAGAGGCTGCCGTCAACCATGCCCTACAGGACAGCCAGCGCAGGGAAAATGAATTGCGCCAGACTATCCAACAACTAGCCAACCAGGTGGCGGCGATGCAGGTCGCACCCGCCCCAACAGTAACTCCTCAGATTAAAGTTTATGCACCCATAGACATTAATAACGCCGTCATTTGTAATGAGCCACTAGACGCCGTCAAATGCCTGCCCGAATTTTCGGGTGCCCAGGAAACATACGTCTCCTGGCGGCAGGCGGCAGTAGGCGCATACTATATTTTTAAAGATTTCGTAGGAAGTTCACGCCATTATCAGGCAGTTATTATAATTAGGAGCAAAATAAGGGGCCCGGCCGATGCAGTGCTATCCTCATTTGGCACAGTGCTTAATTTCGAAGCGATTATAAATCGACTCGACTTTACTTATAGTGACAAGCGGACAATGCATGTCATAGAGCAGGAGATGGGCACCCTCAGACAGGGGAGTCTCTCGCTTCTACAATATTATGATGAGGTTGAAAGGAAGCTCACCCTCCTCACCAACAAGGCGACCATGACATATGAAGCCTCCGCTGCACAAGTTTTATGCGAAAAATTCCGGGATGATGCCCTTCGCGTATTTATCTCTGGGTTAAAACGCAGCCTCAC